AAAATCTGCCCAATAGGTGTTATCACATAGAATAAAATATATTAAAAGTTATAACTAGAATAACAAGATTTGAGAAATTTTAGCACCTGCTTTGTGCTGAATACCAATAGGATGATTCTGGATTCATCACATAACAATGAATACAAACAAACAAATGACAATATTTAGTAAATTAATAAAGACAGTCTTCTGCAAAGGCCTGGATGGGAGCTGTGGTTAGTTTCATAATCACAGATGGATGACAGTCAAAGATCTTCAATGTGACTATAGCAGTTGTTTCTGCTAAATGATTGCAAGGAGAAATTTGGAATTTATTATTTTATTATTTTCAGTCAAATTTTGACATAAGATGTATATTCACTCTTTAATGCGATGAATGGTCAAGCTCCTCCACTTCTGCCTGAGACAGAGTATGGCCAAAATTGAGTATGGAGAACTGAACATAAAACTTAATTATAGATGAATGTTTAATAAAATCAAATGTTCTACATTTCTCTGTATACTTATGCCTAGGATTGCTAACAAAGAGTGAGCAAACTATTACAAGAGTTGTTCCTTTATGTTGGCTGTTAGAAAGCTCAGAGCCTAACTTGCAGTTATTACTTGCAAATACAGAAGACTTCATGGATGTGTTTGGTACATCCTTGGCTTATTTGATTCCTTACTATATTTTCCTTTGGTCTAATTTTAAACCTGTTTTAATTAATGTTTTCTTACTGTTTTAGTTTGGATGTGTGGCCCTTGAACCTCACGTTGAAATGTGTTCCTAATGTTGGAGGTGGGGCCTAATGGAAAGTGTTTGGGTCATGAGGTTGGATTCCTCATGAATAAATTAATGCCTTCTCTATGGCATGAGTGAGTTCTTATACTATTAGTTTCCATGACAGCTGGTTGTTAAAAAGAGCCTGGTGCTTTCCTGCTTCTCTCTTGATCCCTCTGTTGCCATGTGATCTCTGCACATGCAAGCTCCCCTTCACCTTCCACCACGAGTGGAAGAAGCCTGGGGTTTTTACCAGAAGCTAAGTAGTTGCCAATACCATGCTTCTTGTACAGCCTGCAGAGCCATGAGCCAAATAAACCTCTTTTATTTATCAATTACCCAGGCTCAGATATTTCTTCATAGCAGCACAAACAGACTAAGACGCTACAGAGTATTAATTTTTGTAAGTCATATGTAGAGACATAGTCATATCTAAGAATCCCCCCAAAAGCATGTATGGTCTATAAATGCTGTATTATAGCACTTACATTACTAATCTCATTTAATTCCCTCAAAAAGGACATGAAACACCAAAAATTATCTATTACGGCAACATAGAACAAATCATTTTTGTAGAGTGAATAATTCCTCCCTCCTCATTTTATATGTTATCTTTCTGCCAAAATGCTAAAATGTTTTATATAATGCACACTAACAATGTAGTGTAAAGCAGGGTAAGAAGAGAGACCCTTCTCTAAATTTTTGTCTGGCACAGATTTGTGCAGAAGCAAATTAGTCATAGAGATCATTGCAACTGTAAAAATATAGTTAAAGGAGAGCTCGTCTGTTGTAGCCAGTGGCAGACAGAAAGAATCCACAACAATTAGTTTAAAAGCCCACATTTAAGAAAATATCCATTTCAGATTTGTTGTGGATCATTATAGAATAATGGTGGAATGCGGAGGACAGTGAGTGACAGAGTATAGAACCCCAAGAAGAAGCTCCAAGCAGAACTAGGCTGAAATATTGTATGGGAGAATTGCAGTTCTAAATTCACCCTTGCCATCTATCTTTTGTTTCTCAATGCCAGTCAGTAATTCTTAACCAACTCTTTCTATTATCGTGATTTATTTATTTATTTATTTTATTTATTTTATTTATTATTATTATTTTTTTCTTATTTTTTTATTGCATTTTAGGTTTTGGGGTACATGTGCAGAGCATGCAATACAGTTGCATAGGTACACACATGGCAGTGTGTTCTGTTCGCTTTCACCCCTTCACCCACATTTGGCGTTTCTCCCCAGGATATCCCTCCCCACCTCCCCCTCCCACTGGCCCTCCCCTTTTCCCCCCAATAGACCCCAGTGTTTAGTACTCTCCTCTCTGTGTCCATGTGTTCTCATTTTTCATCACCTGCCTATGAGTGAGAATATGCGGTGTTTCATTTTCTGTTCTTGTGTCAGTTTGCTGAGAATGATGTTCTCCAGATTCATCCATGTCCCTACAAATGACACGAACTCATCATTTCTGATTGCTGCATAATATTCCGTGATTAAATTATGATCCCCAGCAAGCATTTGATGTCAGAGCTCTTCTGTTTAGAGTAGGGAGGCAACTTCTTTCTATAATTATGCTTTCTACCAGTGATATTTGAAGTTTGCTGTCCAGCTTTCTGAATTGTGATTGTGATAGCTCTGAGGGTGTGAAACAATTCCTCTCTGATGCATCCTGACTGACTTCTTTCTCATTTCCTTTCTCCTATCTCCTGACCTTTCATTGGAATGGTCCTGATTATAC